CCCCCAACCCTTCCACCCATGGCCTTCCCCCTCCCCACCCCACAGCACCGCCTTGGAGAGGGCATGACCTCTGACCCCATGACCCTTCATCCAATGACCCTTGACCCCGTGACCCCAACCATGACCCCTGACCCCTCATACCGGGGTGTCCCCGTCACTGGGCGTGTCCTCCAGGCCCGAGCGTCGCCGGGAGAGCTGCTCCCGCAGGGACAGGGACTGGGGGGGGAGACATGGAGGGATGTCACCCCCACCATGGGGATGGACACCCCCCATGGGGACACCTCGTCATGGGGACACCCCCCATGGGGACATCATCCATGGGAACACCCATCCATGGGGACATCACTCATGGGGACATCATCCATGGGGACACCCATCCATGGGGACATCATCCATGGGGACACCAATCCATGGGGACATCACTCATGGGGACATCACTCATGGGGACATCATCCATGGGGACACCCATCCATGGGGACATCATCCATGGGGACACCAATCCATGGGGACATCATCCATGGGGACATCACTCATGGGGACATCACTCCATGGGGACATCATCCATGGGGAAACCATCCATGGGGACATCATCCATGGGGACACCAATCCATGGGGACACCAATCCATGGGGACACCCATCCATGGGACATCCATCCATGGGGACACCAATCCATGGGGACACCCATCCATGGGACATCCATCCATGGGGACACCACTCTATGGGGACATCATCCATGGGGAAACCATCCATGGGGACACCCATCCATGGGGACATCACTCATGGGGACAACCACCCATGGGGACACCAAACCATGGGGACATCAGGTCAAGGGGACATCCATCCATGGGGACGTCACTCATGGGGACAACCACTCATGGGGACACCATCCATGGGGACACCTCGTCATGGGGACACCATCCATGGGGACATCACTCATGGGGACATCAGGTCATGGGGACACCACGTCATGGGGACACCACTCCATGGCGACAACCACCCATGGGGACATCACATCATGGGGACATCACATCAAGGGGACATCATGTCAAGGGGACAACCACCCATGGGGACATCACTCATGGGGACATCACTCATGGGGACAACCACCCATGGGGGACACCAAGTCATGGGGACACCCCCTCTCTGGCGTCACCCGCCCCACGGTGTCACCCACCTCCTGGTTGGAGACCTCCAGCTCTTCCTCGAGGACGGCCACCCTCTCCAGAGCCACCCGCAGCCGCTCCCGAACCTGTTGGGGACAACGAGGGGTGACCCAGCCCCCCCAACCCCAGCACCCTTGAGTGCCCCCCCGACCCTCCCAGGGTCCCCCAAACCCACCAGAATTGGTCAAGGACCCCTTTGGGGTCCACCAGGTTCTCTAGAACCCTTCCTTGGACCTTCTGGACCTCCCTCCTGGACCATCCCCAGGTCCCCTTGAGTCCCACCAGGGCCCCCTTGGGTCACCCCAACAATTCCTGGTGTCCCCCAAGTCCCATGGGACCACCCAGATGTCCTGGGTCACCCCAAAACCTCCCTGAGACACCCTTGGGCACCACCAGGTCTCCTCACGGCACCACCAGGTCCCACCCCGGAAACCTCCTGAGACCTCCTGGGGTGCCACCATGTCCCTTCTGGGACCATCAGGTCCCCCAGGTGCCCCCTGCGACCTCTAAGACCCTCTTGGGTACCACCAGGTCCCTCATGGGACCACCACGTCCCACAAGGTCACCCCAGAGTCCCCTGAAACACCTTTGGGTACCACCAAGTCCCACCATGTCACCCTAGGAACCCCCTGAGATCCCTCCAAGAGCACCCACGACCCCCCACCACCAGCACCCACCTTCTCATCGAGGGCTTTGTGGTGCTCAAAGAGGGACTTGAGGGCTTTGAGGACCTCGACCTCGGAGGAGACCCCGGCAGGGGACTGAGCCTGGCGCTTGACCACCGTCATCCTCAGGGACCGCTCGTGACGGGACACCAGGCACTCCAGGTGCTCCAGGAGAAGCTGGGGACAATGGGGACAGGGAGGACATGGGGACACAAGACTCTTGAGATGTTCCAGCATGAGGACATCTTGAAGTTCTCCATCAGAAGCTGGGACAGAGGGACATGGGGGACATGGAGGACATGGAGGACATGGAGGACATCAGGCTCTTGAGGTTCTCCAGCAGAAGCTGGGACATGGGAACATGGGGACATGGGGACACCAGGCTCTTGAGATATTCCAGCGTGGGGACATGGGGGACATTAGGGTCTTGAGGTTCTTCATCAGAAGATGGGATACAGGGACATAGGTACATGAGGACATGAGGACACCAGGCTCTTGAGATGTTCCATGGTGGGGACATGGGGGACATCAGGCTCTTGAGGTTCTCCAGGAGAAGATGGGACAGAGGGACATGGGGGCCATGGAGGACATAGAGGACATGAGGCTCTTGAGGTTCTCCAGCAGAAACTAGGACACAGGGATGTGGGGACATGAGGACACCAGGCTCTTGAGATGTTCCATGGTGGGGACATGGGGGACATCAGGCTCTTGAGGTTCTCCAGCAGAAGCTGAGACACAAGGACATGGGAACACCAAGGCTCTTGAGATGTTCCAGAGTGGGGACATGGGGGACATCAGGCTCTTGAGGTTCTCCAGGAGAAGATGGGACACAGGGACGTGGGGACATGGAGACATGGGGACATGAGGACATGGGGACACCAAGGCTCTTGAGATGTTCCAGCGTGGGGGTCCATGGGGTGAGGGGGTGACGGGGGGTGACATGGGACAGCCAGGGCATCAGGACATCACCCTGCCTGCACCCTGGAGTGGGCAGCACCCAAAACATCACCCTGCCTGCACCCTGCCTGCGGGTCAAGGGGGGGAATCAGCAGGGACGTGGGGACATGGAGACATGGGGACATGAGGACATGGGGACACCAAGGCTCTTGAGATGTTCCAGCGTGGGGGTCCATGGGGTGAGGGGGTGACGGGGGGCGGTGGTGGCCTCACCCGGGTGTTGTTGCGCTCGGCCTTGAGCTCGGCGATCTCCTCCTCCCGCTCCAGCAGCTGCTCCCGGCAGACGTTGAGCTCCTTGGTCAGCGCCGCGAACTCCTGGGGACACGGGGGGGG